CCGCGATTAACCGAATAATGAAAGAGAGCCGATCTACAGGTGAAGGGGTTCCATCGTCGTCTGGACAGTCCGGTCTCCTTCCATCCGTGTGGCCGGTCGTTCTGCTTCCTCCTCCTCTCTCTTGGAGACGGCGCATTAGTCGAGAGCCGCGGTATATTTATAAATAAATAAATGTAAACGAGGACTGGCAGTAGCCACAGCATACGTGTAAACCGGGGAGAGGATGACCTTGTCTATCATGGCCTAGCCTCCAGGCATACCTGACTGACTGGCTTTAGCTACCGCATAGAGATATCTCTCTTTCTCCCTCTTTTTCTCTCTTAATTCCCCACTTCCATGTCTTCTTATTTCATCTCTGTCCGTCTTTTGCCTTCCTCTCCGCCCCTTTTTGTTCCTGCCCCTCTCGGTGTATCTCGGCTCCTCTTTGTACGGTAGTTCGTTCGTCGGTAGCCTTAAATACCTCTTCTTTTTTTCTTCTTTCTCTTGTTTCTTCTTTTTATTCCTCTCTCGTTCCCCCTTCTTCATCATGCAGGATAGCGAAGGAAAAGAGCAACGTCGCTCATTACCGCTCCTCCTGATTCCTGTCGGTATCAATATTGACTCGGCCGGTGTTCTAATTTGTCCGATCTAATTGATACCCAGAGAAGGAAACGGATTCCAAGCCGGTGTTTCTCGCGTGGAAACAAAGTCGCGCGGCTTCCGGTCATTCCACGAACCATCGCGGCTCGCAATTTTTGTTCGGACCGGTTTCCACCGGCGTTCAGACTACCGAATCCTCATTAGACTCTGCTGTCTCATTCTTTCATTCCCTAATATCGCTCCGCATTCCTAATTTTTATTTCTGCTCGACTAGAGATCATTGGTATGCGATGCTGAACGCCATAGAATCTTCATTACACTCTTGTCCCCGCAATTTTGTTCATTCTTTCGACACCTCTAAATTCCATTTTTTCATAGTGATTAAAAATTATTTATTTGCAAATCTCGCGTTTCGCGATGGATTTCTTCATCGTGTATCGATAAAGCAAGAATCATTGAGAATATACTGCACGAAGTAAAGGAGAGAAAGCTTCAGGATAATAAGCAATTTCGCTTTTTAATAGCAATTAAAGATTATTCGCGTTTTGATGAATTTTTTCATGTCTTTTTCTTACGTGACGTATCGATACATCGAAGATCATTGAGATTAAGAGGGACACGGAAGAAAAGATAGAAAGCAACAAGTAATTTACTCGGGTCACGAGATTCCATCCTGAAGTTACGACGATGCGTGTTTGAAACTTCTTGGAAGTCGAGCGGTGCTATGTGAACGATCAGGGGACGGAGGGTATCGCACCAGGACGACGCGAAGAATCGTGGAAACTATCCTGGACACGCGAGGAACGGCGTAGAGGCGGTCAGTTTCCTGGCTGATCGCGGATCGCTCGAGATTGTTACGTAAAACGACGGATTCCTTTCTCGGATCACTTTGTGCCACGCCCCGGGATCACAGCTACGATCCGTGGCCTTCCGAGGATCATACTGATCTGTCCATGTCGATGCTCTTGCTTAATAATCGCGTTTAATCATTCAGGGACACGCAATCAACTTTTCTGGATTCGATAAGTTAAACTCGAGCGGTGGATAAACTGGAAACGTTCCTTTGAAGGCACTGAATCGATCTTTTACTTAATTTGGTCGACGATGATGTTACACTTTGATTGATATGTAGTAAGAATATGTGAATTTCCAACTCCGAAATTTTGAACAATTTGTAGCAGAACTATGTACGTATGAATTTAAGATTAGGTTAACTGCATGACTCATTGATGTACAAATTGATTTTAGTAATAGCTGCTGGAATTAATAGTGTTGGTTTCTCGAACCATTTTGAAGACCCTTCTCCATCTGATACGCAGTTTGAAGAAGTTTCACAATGTTTGAGAATTACGACCGCCAATTTTGTTATTGCACAATAGCTATTAAAAATCAATTTTATCGTGTTGTAACATACTATCGTACATAACTGTAATGGTAATAAAGAGAAGAGTCCGTAAATTTGACGAAGTTTGCAACAATCAACGCCATTTTTGTGGTTGCTTAAATTTCAAAAATCAATTTGATGACGACATGATAACTGTAACGTGTAACAGAATAACTGTAACAAAGAGTAAGATGGTGGAAAATTCTTTCATCCATAATTCTGCAAATAATACACATCCTGTAAAATGAAAAAAGCAAGTTTAAAAAATAAGCAAGTTTCTGAGTACTTTTGAGCCGTATCATATATTTTAGGTTTTATGATTTACCTGCTAGATCCATGTTATTTGATTTTCTTACAGAATTTCCTATATCTTCGATTTCATTTTGCAACATCACGCTTCTATTTTACATGTTTTATGATAATTCTTAGATAATACGCCTGCTCCTTAGTTCTTGTTTAACTCAAACAGTTCGATCTTGGTAACTTCAATGGTTCTCGCTCGAAGTTTGTCAGAAAATCATCGCCCAGATTAACGAGTTTCTTGAGATAAAAACGTCATCTTGTTTCCAAGAGTCGTCTTCGAAAGAATCCTGGTCGCGAATTAGGTCAAACTTGTCACCGAAAAGAAACTTGAGCAGATTATCCTGCAAGTCAGTCGCAACATCGTCCAGCAAAAGTGTCAGAGCAGCCTCCAGGCGGGAAGCTTGTTTTCGTGGATTGAACCGTTACGAATTTTTATAACCGTTATGATAATAATTTATATCCAATCGAACGGACCAAGAGAACCAATCGATTAGTATTGTTGTACCTAAAGCTTCTACTTCCCGAAGTTTTCGATCGGAAATTTAACCTTCAAGCTACGATATTCTATGTATAATGAAATAGAATGTTCGATATAGGATTCGATTTTTAGTTCACATGTTATGCAAATGTATTTCTGTTCGCTGTGATAAATATGGAAGCATCGAAATGAATATTACTATTTCTTTCACTACTGTTATTTTTAAATTTGGCTCAATGTCGTGTGTGCTAATTAAAATTTGTCTCGTGCTTGTTGAATTCGTTTTAATATTCTTGAAAAATTTAATGTGATCTGGAGGATATATACATTACGAAAAGATAGAGTTTTCGGAATGCTTATTACTATCATCTATCGTCTACTTAATTTATATATTTAATTCAGATGTGATAATAGCTTCATGATATTATTACGAACGGTTGAAAAACAGCGCGACACGTTAGAATAAATGCAAATCTGTTTTTCTCGTTTCTCTCGCATATTTCAAGAATAGTATTAGAGGATAATTACAATAGTGCGAAGATTAAAGCAATAGCCGACCTCGATTCGAATCCATAACTTTAATTCAAACCCAGTTTACTTCATTCGACGCATAATTGCTCACAACTAGACTACAGATTTTTATGCGTTTATGATGACGAATGTATAAATTATCCAAAGTGGAGTACTCGCCATAATTTTTTAGTAAATGAGATAAATTACCAGATGGATTTAATTTCTGAAATTCGTTTTATAAAAATATGTGAACTGTGATCAAAATCCGCAGTCTACTGATTTGTTTCCATCATCGATGATAATATTCGTCACAGAGGTGAACGTTATCGAAAAATTCCTTAAAAATTCCTCAGTAATTCGAAAGATTCCTGGTCCAAAGAATCAATGCTTCTATCCTTTACATCATTCAATAAAATTTCGTTTATATAATTTTCTTTGATCGGCAGCGAACGGTGCGAATCTCGGAACGAGCGAAGCGTAACGAACGAATGCGCGAGATCCATTTGATAAT